TGACTGTTACAATATGGCAGACCGTAACCTATATTTGGATTAATATATTTATACGCGAATATAGGACGCTATGGTCGAATGTACATGAAGCTCTATAAAACCGAATCGAACAGAATCAAGCACGTGAAAAAGACTCGACTTATCAATAGGCCAGTATTAGAGGTCATTTATTTGTGCTAAATTTGCGCCTACCGCCGTTACTTGCATGCTGTGTCCTGCAAAGTGAACATCAAGGCTTTCAATGGATAAAAACACGTTGCTGTTGCCCCATTGTTGATCTTAAAAACTGCTTCCCGGCCGTCCCTCTTCACAGGGCATAGGCTACTTCCTCTAGTATCACTTTTTGGCCCTCATTGAATTCTCTCCATTCTATGTTATATAATAAGCGCCACAGTAGGATATGTTAGGTCGGGCCTAAGAAAAGCCGTCTCGCTATTCCCATTATTATTGATATTGTTGTTACAGCTGCTGATGGTGTTTGTTTGGCAAGTTCGTTTACCTTCATTATAGTTGACTGAGCATAGGCGCAGACGCCGATGCCGCAAACGCGGATGATATATTTGAATATGGCCGAATCCGTTTACGTTTTGCATCTTGCCACCATCCTTGTATACCTACCTATCTCTGTGTGTGTGTTGTTATCAAGCAGTGCTTGTCATCGCGGTTATGCCGGTGAGTGCAGCCTCAACACCATGAATTGCTCTTACCTCAGTATATTGCCATTAGCAAAAAGGCGCAGCAACGGCAGCTGCAGGGGCAGAATGAGACCAGCCGTTGATGGACCCTCAACAGCCACTCAATATTTCATTATCTCCGTCGGAGTAGTTTTTTCGTAGTCATGTCATAGTACATAGACATACACTCATATGTATATCCGTATGTGTGCGTGTGTATATGCCCATCGAAGGGAGATCGAGATCGCTTCGATAGGAGGACATAATGTTGTCTAATTTACACAAGTGCCTCGCTTACCAGCGTCTGGTGCAGCAGCGTGAGCCACATTAGCCATCCGCTGGTATCGTGATACTGCTGGCCCAGGCGAGAAACACCCTTGTTGATCCCTTTTTTACGTTGATGTGACCGACAACAGGACAGGGTAGCAGCGAGGCAGGGGTTGGGGTAAGGTGGGGAACGCGGACGATGGACAGTTGAAGGACATTACTAATGTCGACGGCACGATAATAACGTACTTTTGCTATATTTACATTTCTGATATGGCACCGATGTGATTTGAAACTTCAAGAGAGTTATATCTATTGTAAGTGCACTACTTCTAAAATAAGTACAACTGAAGTAATAGTGTCACGATTCAGAGGGGCAAGTTTCAGCATGAAATGAAGTACGTCTGCGCAGGGCTTCGAGCTTCGACTAAACTATCATAGATACCGAGACATTGTACTGTTGTTTTGAGTTTTACGTCTGATAATGTTTCGATTAAGTTGCTGGCCAGACATTGTACTAATACGGATTTGTAGTAAACCAAAGGGTTTATCCGCCATTAGGGTACAAGTTGTTCGTTTCGAATAAAGTCAGTCAACTAACGCATTAACTGTATGCTATATATTTTTAATAGATGCAAAAATGTCACCCGACGGGGTTATCTCATATCATTGAAAATAGCTAAGATAAATACAGTGTCTTGGTTGCTCCATGACCCTATACGTGGTAAATACACGTTGTCTGTTTAGCGGGAGGGAAGGTGGGTTCAATCTAAGTGGAACGCATGGAGATTAAAAACATAGTTGCTTGATGATCTTGGATCATTTCTGGTTGTCATCACTCGAGTTCAATCATTTGTTTACCGCGTAGAGGTGTAGCAATAAAAAATATCAACGATAACCGTAACGTTGGGTTATAGGCTGATTTAAAATGACCGCTTTTCTCTATTGTGGCCAGCTCAATTCCGAAAGCTATTCAGATTTACTTATTATCTCAACTCCTCCGAAACGAATCATATCTGGCTGCATAACTTTTCATTATGGCATTTTTTACGTTAATGTTAGATAGATTAGTTTCGCATACTATTAATTATTGCTCTGCTTAAATTAATAAATTTCCTACCTACTAACCACAACTAATTAAAAACAATGTATTGTATAAAGTCTCTCATATAGCTTTCCAACAATGACCAATACATCGTACGGTCTCGTTCGTTTCCTCTCTAGCTAGCTGTACAAAGCGCATGGCCCTTTCCTTGGGCCGTTACCATCGGCCTATCGACACTTCTTGTTGTTGCCCAATAACAATTAGCACCATATTATCAAGGCTGCGTTTGCGATGCTTCCTTGCATATCCGTTGCAGCGAGGCTTTGTTCTAACCTAACGACAATACTTACCTCTCAGTAACTTATCGGCTGTCTATCAAGTGGTTACCTAGGGTATAACTTGGATGTAGTACCTATCTCCCTTCCTCTTTCTCCTATTCCCGACTTTTGGCGATGACGCATTTCGAATACAGCCGAGCGCGACAGCGCAGAACATTCCTGCTTGCGTTGAGACCACTTGATGATAAATTTTTTTCGAAGCATGGAAGTCGACGCTATGCCCTCTTGACAACAAGCGTAATTCTAGAGGCGATTTGTGGACACACGACAATAGAATGATGGCAATAGGCGGCAGCTAGAGCGGGACCATCTTCCCCCAACAAAAGAAGAGAGAGAGAGAGAGAAAGAAAGTCTCTCCGTGCGCTGCCCAGTTGGTCCACGGGGGGACCAACGGCTATCGGACAGTCTAGGAACTATTTATTTGATGTCGATTACAATCTGCCTAGTCGATTCCGCTATGAAAAATTTACCACGGGATTGTTGCACTTGGTTCATCTGCTCGGCTCAACTTTGGCGCTATTTAACAATATAGACGTCCCACGCATAACGTGACGTGACTCGTTTGTAATGGCAGCTATAATGTCGGCAACGTTAGTACAAAACATGGTTCGTGCAGTTACTTTTTCATCTAGGTGTGCATGCAGGACCAGTAAATCGAATCCATTAGAGGAACTGGCACCGACCTAAGCTAGGAACGACCTTTGTGTGCGTATGTATGCTTGAAATCGCTATCTAAATGGCAAAAGCGTTTTTGGTGATGAGTGCGGCAGGCAGCGGACTACTGTTGATGCTAGTGCTGCCCATGTAACAGTTGCCATCCCATAGGCCACACACGCGACTGCCAAGACCGAGAAACACAGAGCACATGAATAAGCCGCTGGAAAATAGTCAGCGTACCCGTCGTAAGCCAAAACAGATCGTAGAAGGTTGCTACAGTAGAATAGAACGGTCGACCAACCAACTAATCAGCCATTGTATCAGCCAGTTGTGAACGAGCGTCAGGAAGACGTTCATCGCGACCGCCTCTACGGCGTAGCGTTAAACGTGTGAGCAAGATCCTTAAGTGGCACGAAAGCTGGATAGAATCATCTCTTTCGAGATGCGCGTTTTAGGAACCGATTGAGGATTCTAACAGGAGTGACAAAAACTATCGAGCCATCACCATCGGCGTTTCAATGACTCAAGCATCGCGCAGAATTGATTGCCTTTTACGTCCTGCCTTGTCCTGCTCAGCTGTTTTGTCTATCCTTTTTTAGATACATAGAGATATTGTTAATTTAAGAACGCATCCGTGTAAAGGACTTAAAGAAAAAAACAAATATGTAACATCGACAGCATCGTTTAATACTGAATTCTGTCTAACACCCACGTTCGAACGATATTAATGGAATACGCTTACTGGAAACAAGCTCTATTCCTTTTACTAGCTGTCATTCTACTAAGGCAAAAGGCAAAATATTTATTGATTCAACCGCCGCCGTTTCGACCATGTAATGGTGGGGTATTCCGGAACAAGCTTAAGCTTCACAGTATCGGTTCCGCAAGGAAAGGTGATAGGGATCGCTAACACTGGCCCGGATCCAAGAGTAGGTACAGAACTACACAGTACTTGATTAATGATCCTACCTTGTTAGTAACTCCAAAGAGTGAGACGCGCGCACAGATCTGTGAGAGTATTAAGAAAGACTTAACCAGCTGGCCTATATACATGCTGACTGAATGTATAATTGCTATAGCAGAACTATTGCATCAACACAGACAGGGCTGTTCGCAGAGATTAACGGACAAATACGTTTTTTTCGATACGGAGGACGTTCGGTGTGCGTATATATCTAGCCAATCTGGCTATTGTGTGTACCGTACGTAGCTAACTGCTGGGCCTGTGATCTTGGCTTCTTCTGCACTGGGATTCGATTTATGTGATAGTAGCGTTGGTGATGGCTTTCAAATTCATCGTCTCTTCTTTGGTCCTGGATTGACACCGAAGCGAATTTTAAGCAGATTTTGATGGAGAGCCATGCGTCATATGCTTTCACTTTTTAGCTTTTCTGAGCGCATTTTTTTTGCGGCCACGACTATCTCTCGAGGAAGGGAGCGGGTGCTTCATGCTCGTTCCTGCATTCAGTCCCGAAATCTTCCCTCGCGTCGCCAATCTATTTCAAATTTTAGGAGGCAGACAGGACTCCTGTAGAACTCAACTCTCGAAATATTGAGAGTATAACGCCAGCAAAGTCGATATAATCACTGGCAGCGAGATCTGCTTGCTTTGATCCTCAAAGGCTGCTTAGATGTACTATTTTTCATTCACGCCTCTGTTGTTTTTCGCTGCCTGTTCTTTTGAATACGGCCTCAGTCCTAGTAGTTGTGTGTACTGCAGAGTGTCGCCTAATCATTGGACCTGTGTATCTGGTAATAGGTCCAAATCTATTGTCAACGGACAGCGGCTGCCATGCAACGATTGCAAGAAAATCTGTTAGCAAAGCTCTGGTGCATTTTGACGCGTTGCTGAGGACAAATCTATAAAACCGAATAGTTCACAGAGATAAACATTGGGTATGGTTAGGTCATTAGCTGCAACAAAACATAACAACAATAGTTGCGTAACGTAGAAAAATGAATACGATTGTGACTGATATCACCTAATGCTAATGTATTTGTTTGTCTTCGTGGTTTCAGTACTGAACCCTTAACCGGTGAACACCATGTATCATCGGTGAACTTATTTAGTCGCCATGTAGAAGAAAAGCTTTGCAGGGAGCATCTTACCATCTCGGGGCGCCAGACACTGCATCAAGGGCAACGACTATGAAGGCTTCTGTAAAGATTCCTCAAAGCTGATAGCCAACATTAAATGTCAGAAGGTCTTCACGGTCGTATTACTGTCATTGTAAGCAACATCCTCATCGGCTATTTTGTCCTTATGTATCGTCCTTATATAGCGTCTAGTACTTTTAAACTATTTGTCGGTAATAAGTCCAGTGCGTGGCATTTCTTTGTCGCGTTTAATTTCCTGCCGACCTCGGCTCGACGCATACCAATTTATTCGTTATGCCCGCTCTATCTCCGCTTCTAACCCCAACGAAGATGGAACCTCACTCGGCCCTAGACTCTCCCCCTAATCTGCACCATTCGCTTGCGCCCGCTCTTGGTGCGCCCGTCGTAGGCTCCAACGGCGCTGGCTCACCATTGTCTCCGAGTTCATTAGGTCCGCATGGGCCTGCCTCAGTGGGTGTTTCTCATCTCCCCGGGCACCTGCCTGGCTGTACGGCCTTAACCCATCCAGCAACGGGCCAGCCAATCTGTACCTGTTTTCTTAGAAGGTGAGCGCTTTTTGAAACGAGTACTTCTTATGTTCTAAGATACAGCTTTTTGTGTTCTTTCGTTCCTTCCTATTGAAATGTTGTATTTTCCATTAACTAAAAAAGCTCAACGCGACAAACGTAAAAAAATAGTACATGGCATTATTGTTGTATTTTTAAACATTTCTGTACAGGTTAAGTTCAGCGGCTGGCCTAAATATGGGAGGTCTTCCTGGTTGTCCTTCGTCGCCGCCCTCTGCGCCCTCTTCAGCTTCCTCTCGCAATTCCCCTGGCTCCCATCCGGCGCCGAGTCTGTTGTCTCATAATCTAGCTGGCCACCAGCAGCAAGCATCAGGTCAACAAGGCTCCCACTCAAAAACTCATGGTGCCCAAATGCTGCTAGATCCTCATCATTTTGTATTGTTACAACAACAGGTATGCTCGATAGTCGATTTAATCATATGCGCAATTATTGTTTGCTTAAAGGGTGTGATTTACGAACGATACTGTTATTTTATCGTTATTTGGTATAACAGTCCTCCCACTTTCGTAGAAATAAAATCTCACTAATTCCAATTTCGATAAGTACTGATTTTGTATCTTCCACGTAAAAGGCGCCAGTACACTCGTGGACCAGCTCAGGCTGCGTAATCGCAAAAAGTATAAAATATACGTAATATATTACGAAACCCGACAGGACTTCTCGGTTAGCGTTTGCGAATTACCGAATTATTATTTATATTTATCCATGTAGATCTGAAATAAACCTTTCGAAAGCGATGTTAGATAAAACAATTCGTACTTCTACATTTAGCAAGAATTCCATGTATCTATGCATCAGATATTCATTTATGACTGACTGATCTCAGATCTTTGATTGAATCGTTCTTATACCGTTTTCTAAACTTCGCCCTACATAGGTCGACACATGGTCTTCGGCGTCTATCAGCCCTTTATCTACAGTTGTGGGCGCATTGTCGATGAAGTGCCATATGTTGTTAAAATGCACGATAGTTACTTCTGACTGTGAGCTATCACCTCTGATTTCTTTATGCTGTCCCGGATATGTGGAGTGTCGGTATTAATGTAGCAAAAAATCATACAAAGCAATATAGGGCAAATATGGAAGTGCAAACCTCCGTAGTCTTGTAGTAACTGTGCCAACATTCACATTACTAATAGTAGTTCTAAATGTGGAAGCGTTTGAGAAAATAAGACGCGAGACCATGTCATCCATTTATCCATTGGCATTAGCGCAAAAACGGTCTCAGCTATACGAAATATTAAAAAATAAGATCTATGTTTTGAGCGAAGCAAAGATTGTTAGCTGAGACAATTGTTTGTAAGTTGAAAGAAGTTACATCGATAGTAACAGTCAGTCGAGCATCTGTGCGTAGATGCGTACGAATATGTATGTGTAATTTCTTGCGGCTGTCCGGCAAACTACGATATCAGCTCACAGTCGTATTGTAGATAACGTTTACTCGTAGATACTGACACTTAGAGGAGCGAAGTAGTCTGCTTCTGAAAAACGTTGTCAGGTCAGTCATTTTCGCGCAGTGTCTTGAGAAGTTTATCTCTCAAGCATTTCATTCGCTCTTTTCGTGGATGGCAGGCAACGCCGCTACGATTCGTCCACGAGTAAAGCGCCGCAGCGCCGGCGTGGCTAGACAATGGAACGCGTATATGGAAGCGCTTAACAGGGCGTAATACTAGCACAAGTCGCTAGCTAGCTTCTAGCTATCAATAGTTCATAAATTTGCGTACGCCACAGATCCCTACGAACTTTAGAGAAGACAGGAAAAGATATGACGGTTGTTACCTCCCGATACGATGAATTATGACTATGAGCAATGGAACAAGTGGAAAATATCAGGCTGTTATTGCCTGTCATGAACTTATTTCACACGGTGGCGGCAAAGAGTAAACGTAATCTGAAGTAAAACTCGAATTTGCTATGACTAGCCGCTCAACCGTGTTAGTGAAATTTTTCTGTCTAGATGCATTGAGGTAACGTTCAGTCAATGTAATTGGCTTGTGAGGACTTAACTATTCAGCCGTGTCGCCGATCGCGCGCGACAATTTGAATTTTATCTCACTCTACTGCCGCAAGACCATACCTCAATCAGCTATAGCTATAGAACCGCAAAAACGGGTTTGCCTAATCCTAAAAGGGACAGGTAATAGTAACCACCTTAAAACGTCAACATAAAACATAAAAACACGTTGATTAAGAAGATCGCATTGGAGGGCATCGCTGGTTTGTTCTTGCTGATCTTTCGCTTCAACAATGTGCTCGTTCAACCATATCGCTATCTATACTACCATATATAAAAAAGCACAGAACAAACGTAATGAACGAAGGAACAAAGAAGCGTAGTAAAGTGTAATGGTCTAGAGCATATGTGTCCTGAAACGAGAACCGACCTCAGTTTGATATGTTCGTAGCAGGTAGAATGAAACACAGCGCTGTGATGGAAAGCTGAGCTGAAGTTACCCTTTTGCTTGTTGATTAACTGCAACAAAACTGCTCACCATCAGCATCGGACCCGTGTGTTAAAAGCGTGGTAGCCGTTTGCCAGGTATTGCCAATCATCGTACCTGAAGTCGTAAGCATGTATTGAGTCCCACGATCAAGCTATCGCGTCGCGAAGAGGCCGCGCGCATTGACCGACAATGCAGTTAATCATGGGTTAATTCCAAACTAAACATTACTATCAACTGATATCATTGGTACACAGTCATCAAAGATAAGCATTGAACACACGTAAATCGCGTGAATGAGAAAAAAAGGCTGTCTTCCTTCTTCACCGTTTTGCCTCTCGTGTCTTCTTAGCCAAGAAACGACAATCAGCCGCCAGCTTCTAACGATGAACAGAACCGGCCGCTCATTTACAGTACGACCATTGCTGCTGCTGCTGCTGCTACTTTAGCTTCTGCAGGGGGACAAGTGTTATATCAAGAAATCGCCGAAAAGCGACATCGTCATACGAGCGCGAGCATTTACAACGACGCCGAGAAACGCGACAAGCATACGAGAGGGACTATTCGAATGCACCCCTGGCTTGTTTCTAGTGGATCCAGTAGTTCCTGACTGCTACCATGAGCATGTGACTGAATTGCTTTGTTTCTGATCCTTCATAACTTTTCATGCAATCGAAACGAGGTGTGAGACAGGAGAACGACACGTTTTACGCCACTTATCGTGCTCCTCCTGGCAATGTTCATTTTGGTAGACATTCGTTTTATTCCTTCGCCCCCTCGGTCTCTTAGCTTTTTGCGCCTTTTATTTTGCTGTTATTTCCGAAAAAGCCAGCTACATATTATGGAAAAGACAAGAAATAAAACAGACACAACTTTGCAACGATGTAATCGACCCAATCAATCGATGGCCATATCATCTGTTATATTGCCGACGTGATAAGCATGACGAGAAATAGAGCAAAAGAAACACCACAAAAATCTGAACTCAACAGAATTGATACAATCCGGCGATTTAGTCGGCTTTATCGGCCGACAGCCAAGCGTTTTCTGGCCGTTTTCGGCTTGTGCTGATGATAATCGGAACGGCGGCGGCGGCGGCGGCGGCAACAGTAGTGCGGTACTAGAGATGGTACTTGATATATAGACCCTTACACACACGCAAATGGAGGAAAATTTGACGTATTTCTCTTCTGGGTCCATCCAAATACGTTCGTCATTTGAAACGCTTGCCATTGTTTAAGGTTCTTGTTAACGTTTCGATTGGACTACAGAATGAGAAAACATCCCCTTGTAGCCGTTGCTGGCTGATATGCTTATTATACAACAGTTATTAGTAGCCTCTATTACGTATGACTCCACACATCTTGCCGTCTCAGTCTGAAACTGTCTTTTCCAGTTCTGACCAGAAATTCAATTTAATTGCAAAAATTATACTGACCAACAGCGCGTACGTGCAGATAGATCCATGTGCATGATTTTTTGTGTAACATGGTACCACTGACAGGCACCACTGACAAGAGGACATAGGCACTAAGCGTACTCTTAAATGTACTACATTTGCAGGCTGCCCAGGAGGCTGCGCAACTCTATGGAAGATAGGCGTCAAAGATTGGCACTTTTAAATATCTGTAATTCATTTATAAAATACCTAATTATTACTCCTTCTAAATACGTATTTAAATAACGAGGTTTCTTTCAGTGCAAACAGTAAACAGAATGTGGCTTAGAAAATGATTCGACTCAGGTATTGCTTAGGGTTGGACGTGCTCGGTTTTATCTTTTACTTTTTTTTGTACCTATTTTTTGTGTTTTTTGGGGGAGGGGGGAGAGGGGAGGGGAGGGGGGTAAACGCCACTATTTGAGTGTGAAATTACAGAAAAAAAAAAGTGTATTGCACGCGGTATTTCTTTTGCAGACGTCAGTATTTGGTCATTGGCCGATCGACTAGGCTGTGCAATGTCCTGAACGAACTATTGATTTTCTCTACTGGAATAGCTATCTCTAATCGCTCATCAAGCGTATGTCATTATAAGGCGGAGCCAAAATATCCGAGATAATGCCAAATTATCCTCGGGCGCATCGTGCATCAAACAAGTACCGGCAGATATAATTGAAGCTGTTAGAATAATATGAGTAATGACGACGATACAGTATACGTGGACGCTGTTGTATACATACGTCCATGTCGGCATATCTAGCTGGTGGTAAAGGCTTCGCTTGCAGTTAAACAAACACGAAATGGCCGTAAACGATGCAATTTTTCCACTACCAAAAAGGAGGCATATTGAACATGTATATATATATATATTGTAAGTTCCACTTAAGTTGGAGCTTAGGCACCTCTGGGTGTAACAAGCAAGGCTGACGTATCGATGTACCTGGCAATCATAAGACTCTCAATTATATTAAAACATTACGCCCGAACGAAACTAGACTCTGTGTATCATCACGATTTTTCGCCGGTCGGTTAGAAATTTGAACGTTGTAGCAAAAGCGTTGTGGGCATATATCGCCTTGCAAAAGAGTTTGTACTGGGTATATTGTTCAAAACTGAACGGTACACACATTTATTTAAGCCGGGCATAATCTTGTCGCTTCAATTAAATACCCTATTAACTAACGTTGAAACGTCTTGGGAGAAAAAAAAAAACTATTCAATATGCAATGACAGGTGTTGTTTTTGCTACTCTTGGCGATGATATTGATTCGGTGATATTGCCTATTGCAGCTTCTGACAAAGTGATTCGCTTGGCAACTATCACTACATTGTATTACGTATTAGAGCCACTATATAGGCCTTTTATTTTGTTTTTCTGCAACTTTTTCGCGTTGATTCTGATCGTATCCGCCCCTTCGACGCTTTCCAATCTCCTGGGTGTTAGAGGTTATCGATTGTAATGATTCAACTGGCAGCTATAGCGCGAAGATATATCGAGGAAGAACTGTTGATG